AATGATATAATTTATATTTTTTTAATGGAAAATTGGAATATAGGTAATGTTGTTTTAATCATAGAATTTTACTAATGTGCCAATTGTTGTCGATGTAAATAGAAATTATTTGAGGAAATACCTATAAATATTTTTTGAAAAACTATAGCAATATTTTAATGATGAAAATTATATATATATATATGTAAAAATATACATATGTATTTATATAATCTATATGTATATACATATAATGTTATACCTATTTGTAGTGATATTTAGTAAATTAATTTATTGTTAAAGTTTGGTGAATTGAAATTGAATGTTTTGTATGTTTTGAGTAGATATACCTATTATATATTTTATTATATTTCAAATAGAATTCACGTGGATAAATATTTATGTAGCTATCTTATTGACAAAAATTCATGCAAAATGGTGAATACCTATATTGCTTTTTGATATTTTTAAGGAGTTAGTTGTATTATGTAATTTGAATATTCGGTATTTGAATGATCGGTCAAAATTATTTTGTGCTCTTTGTTTTCTGGAATAACTGTTCAGTTTGGACAATCAAACAGTTTTATTTGTATTTGTATGTCTTAATTTTCTACATATTTGTTCGAGTAACACTTGTTAAGTCATTATTTTGTTTTGTTCATTAAAAAGTAATGTTTTATTAGTAGGTACACGAAACTGAGATTTTTCTATTGTCTTCAAAGTTACTATAGTAGTGTCATTAAAATATTGAAATTATTGTAATCTGTGAAGGAAATGTAGATCATTATGAAATTTTGACATTAATTATTTGAAATATTTTCAAAATTATATATGGATTTGTCGTTAGTGACGTCATCTATATGTCACCTATCGAATTAATTCAGTCATGAATTACATTTTTTGTAAATTGTATATAGTTTAAAAGCTAGAAATATCTTGTATAAAAGAATAATGAGATCGATTTCGCTTATACATAATGTAATAAAAAAATAATGGGAATGATGAAGCGTATACTTGTAGATTGTTTATATGGAAATATAGTGCTTAACGTATTTGTATTTTGGATAATAGTATAAATTTTTTTAATATTTGTACATATTTTATTGTTTAATGGAGACATTTTAATCGTTTTTTTATATAAACAAAATACGTTTTTAAAAGTATTAAGAAGTTAGTAATATTTAAATGGATTAGACTTACAGGAGGTTGGGGATCAGTATTCGAATGTGCATCATGATCATTGTTGATCTGCATCTCCTGCAAATTCATAAAAGGTATATTACAGGATATGTAAAATGTAAATTATATATAAAAATGTACTTACTTGTAATGACTCCATTGCGTCTATTTTTTATTTGTAAATGACAATTAGGTATTTATCAGTTTCTAGAAATTATATCATTTGTTTTACAATGAAGAGTTGATCGAAATACCATGAATTATAATTATGTATTTGAAAGTTATTGAAATGTTTCATATTAAATTTAGTATAATATTTTTTGTATGTAATCAAGAGTTGAAACTGAAATATAATAAATAAAGTTAACCATATATTTAAATTTAAAAAGAATTTTGGGTTTATTTTTGGTTGATAATACAGTTTTTAATTGTTAATTGATAAAACTTACGAAAGATGGCTCTATTATATCAAAGTTATTAAATATTAATCTAATTAATTGAATTTTTAAATATGAATAGATATTGTAATTTGAAAATTTATAGTATATGAATACAGGAATGTATATTTATTCATGGAAAGATGTGAAAAGTATTGAAGAAGAAATAATAAAAATTTACAACCTAACCTCTAATGATAAAATGTGTGAAATAGTGCATATGGAATATTTATTTAAGATTATTTACAAAAAAAATTGTTAATTGAATAATTTTATGTAAAATTGATATAGTATAGGTAATAGATTAAGTTAAATGGTTATATGGATATATATAGTGTGGTTAGTTGAGATTATGTTATAATTACATTTCAGATGAAAAAAATGGATGAATAAATATGGTTTAAAATGTAGATTTTGTAGTAGTCGGCTTTGTCATATAAATATAGATATATTAAGTGTTTTTTGATACCTATTGTAGGTGAGAAAAATTGTACAAAACAAATTACAACAAATGGCTTGAAAAATTGGAAAATATTAATATGGTGTCAAAATATTTTATTTATTGGCATTTATTAGTTATAAAATGTTAGTGATATGTATTGGTGGATGTTAAAAATTAATGCGATCATATTTTGATAATAAAGCGTTGCGTTGATACTATGTTTTAAAGGATGATTTTGAACTTTACCAAAAAGGACTTTTGTGAAGAAAATACGGTTTTCAATAGAAATTTGTGAAAAAATTAAATTGCAGGTTGTACACTAGAATTTTAAAAAAGGTTATATACAGGGTGATTCACAACTTATCTAAAAAAATTTGGGAATAGATGCGGCATGAGAAATGGAGTCAATATTGTTAAAAAAAATTTGTAAAATCCTTATAGTTTCTGAGTAAAAAATTATTGAAGTTATAGCACATTAAACCACTACACAGCTGGACAACTGTAGTCTCTAGCATCATTCGCCACGTGGCCTCATCGACTCCGAATACTGAATTCGAATTTTGCAATCGTCGCGTATTTACCTGTTATCTGTGGTTTTTATAATACGTTTTTAGTAGTTGGTGTCAAAAATAGGTAGTTAGTGTCAAAAATGGTTTGCGTGTACTCGGAGTTGATGGATATCGTTTTAATTTATGGTGAAGCGTTTGTGTTATGGTGAAACAAAACATAATTTGTGTTAGTTCGTAAAAAGTGAGTAAGACGGACCCAAATGTGTTTACACGTGAGTGGATAAAATTTTGAACAATTGCTGTTGCAGCATCGGGTATGTCAAATGATTTTATTATTTAAAAACACAAATTAATTTTATTAATAATCCATAAGGCAAAAGCATTTAAATTTGCCTATATAAAATAGGTGCGATAAAATTCTATTTACATATTTCTTTCCTTGCGAAAGTTTTTGTCCTTTTATATCGCCGCCATAACGGTCGCATTGTGCGAGGTCAGGTTTTACAGTGGACCAGTTTCCAGTGCCGTGCAGAAGTGTATTTTTAAATCAATTTCGAACTGACTTTTTGATTTTTTCTTTACAAAATTGTATTTGTAATTGTCCCCTGTACATCCAGATTTTTTTTTTTTGGAAAGTTCTGAATCACCCTGTATATATTTGCATTTTTTTTTTCATAATTAACTGATAGATATAAACAATCGTTATATATTTTTTAAATTTACAATATTGTGAAGTTTATAAAGTAGAATGGTGGTATTATATTAAAGTTTAAAAATGTGTAACTGCACAGAAAATTTAATTTTATCAAAAAAGAATGCTATTCGTGTCTATTAGATGATAAAGATAGTAAAACATTTCACGTACATATGTGCAACATTTTTTGATGGCTTAGGATTGGTAACCCTTATTTTAAAATTTTATTTTGAAATTGAATCGATCTGAAAGTTTTTTTTGTTAGTATATAAATATTTTATTAAAAATATATATATAGTATCAAAATAGTTTGACGTAAAAGAGTATATATTTTGGTAACGAAACTACTTACCTTTGAAGTGTTGCTTATTTGGCATTTACAGGTTGTGTTCAACAGAAGTGGCACAAATTGTACGGGTAAATTTATTCCATACAGCACATACATGTTCTATAGAAATGCCAAGAATATCTTGCCAGAACATTTAAATATTCGTAGAATATTCTTTTTTGTTGCTTCAAATATTTTAAGTAGGTACATTAAAGGGACATTCGCAGTACACTGTTTTATATGTTCTCAGAAGATACATACATAGAATATGCCATATATATATATATATTGCTCGAAGCAGAAATGCTCGAGGCATTTTGCATTTTGCATTGCATTGCATTTGGAGACAGTTTTGTCTAAAGTGGTGACATAGTATTTACTCCATATCTGATAAAACCGCCAATTATGTTACGAAGGAAGCATCGGATTTTTCGAATCAATGGAGAGTATAAAAAAATTATAAAAGTAGCAATTTCGAAAATGTGATATTTGTATAATTTAATATAATACATTATTATTTCTCTAAATGAATCTGACATTGAAATTAAGGTTTTAATTCATGATTAGATTTAGTAATGACAAAAACATTAAATTATTGATTTTAAAGTAAGATGAAATGTAACTGGAAATATCTTTTGAAATTAAATTTGGAATAATATATCCTTCTACATACGGCACGGTATATTAAGAATTGCTCGAAAGCATATAAGGGCATTCGTATTTAAAATGGTATAGTGTTTGCCTCATATTTGATACCAAGTGCCAAATAAAAAATTAGAAGGAAGTATTACCTGTTTCCATGCGACAGAAAAAATTCTCAGATATGAAAATGAGAAGAAAAGACAATATAGTATTGTAAGATGCAGTTTAACATGCCAATATTATTTATTGAAATATAAATATTTCTTATTTCCGATTGCACGTTTGCTATATTTAGCAAACCATTTTCCCAATTCTAAGATCAAAACATGTTGTTTTATTCGATTTAAAGCAACTGATTGCACGATGTCAAATTAGCCTATGCTCACATGATCTATGGAAATATAGGGAAAGTAAATAATTATTGTTATAGAATAATTATAATCGGAAAAGTTTGTCTACTAAAAATGAGATATTATATTGACATATTTGCAAAAATGTTATATGTAGTTAGTGTTTTGTAATGATAATATACCAAACTTCCAGATGGAAAAGGCTGGAATACTGAAAACATTTGGAGTATTAGGTGAGAGAATATCAAATACGGAAAAAGTTCAGTTACTGACCTTTATGAAAAGTATCTCTCAAACCTCATGGTTGTCATAATAATAAAACATATTATAGTACTTATCTGTACATGGCGTTTCGTGTGTATATGTTTTCAGTGTTTGGTAAAAGCTTACCTTGTTCTGGACGTTGTAACATAAATTTTAACGTCTTCTATGTTTTTAGCTCACGAAAAAGCTACATAGAGTTGTCCGTGAGTAAATACGGGTTCCTCCAGATAGATACCCATTCGGTTGAAGGTCTGTCCCTGCGATTTATGAATTGTCATGGTATAAGCTAACTGAACGGGAAATTGCCTTCTTTTTAATTTAAGTGGTAACGTGTCACCTCCTGTTTTGAGGTCTATACGGGGAATAAAAACTCGTTCTCCAGTAGGTCTGCCACTACTGTCGGTTTTTTCAGCGTCTATGTACTGGTTCCCCAATAAACGAACAATTAATCTAGTACCATTGCACAAACCTGTTTTTAGGTTTAAATTGCGCAAAAGAATTATTACGGCGCCTTCTTTTAGGACCAATTTGTGTGGCGGAAGTCCACTGCTACTGGGAGTTAATGAATTTAGAAATTCGATAGTGTAATTCACCATTTCGGCTGCCGGGTCATCCGTTGTATCGACACAGTCAGCGCTACAGTAAGTTTTGCTCGGGCCCTCTAATGTTTGCAAAACTCTTTTATTAATGGAATGGCTAATATTATTTGTTGGAACTAAAATGGCCCTTCTTATGGCCACTGTTGGATCCATGTCATCAAAGCAGAACTCGATAAGATCTGGGACACTGGTAACGTAAAAGTTTGTGGTATTTGTACAATATTACCATATATTGTTCGTCGTAGAGGTTGTAAAGTTTCGTTACCTAAATTCAGGAGCCATGTATAACTTATGATTCTGAATAGCCCTTACGTTTGTTTGCAAGTCGTAATTTGTAAATAGGGGCCAGTGTCGGCTACTTTTTATACAGGCGTTTACTATCGTACACCTATTTCCTCCAACGATTACCGGTAGGGTTTGTCGGAAATCTCCGCCTAATAATGTCACTTTATTGCCGAATGGTCTGTTATCGCTGCAGATGTCTCGTAGTGCCCTTTCGATTATGTTAAAAATAAGATTTGTCACCATAGAGACTTCGTCAATTATTAGGAGTTTATATGAGGCTATGTAACGCCCTTAACTTGTAGTAGGGGAGATTCCGGTAATTGTCGTTTCGTTAATATCGAAAGGTAATTTTAATACTGAATGAATCGTCCGACCACCTTTTAGAATTGAAGCAGCTATTCCGGTCGGACAGGCTACTAATACGGGTAGTTCTTCACCTCGTAGCTTTGAGATCAAGGTTTGAAACAGGTATGATTTGCCGGATACTGCCGCGGCATTTACCAAGAAAAGACGATTGGGATCGTTGTCATCATGAACAGCATTCATTACTGCATTGCAAATGGTTCTTTGTTCCTGATTGAGGTTTTCGTACATTTCCTGACCTTGTACTCTCTCGGCTTCTATATTTATGGGATCAAAACGTATTACGCTTTCTGCAGGTTCTGGTAAACCGTATAATGCTAATCTAGTGCCATTTAGCAGCAGTGTGGTTTGAATACATTGAAGTGTTTCTCGCAGAGCCCGATCCTCAGAAAGGCCGTGGCGCCTGAAATCTTCCATGAAATAAACATGGATTTCGCCCCAAAGCGCCGGATCATCTGAAACTTCACAAAAAACTAATATGAAAGCGAACATGCTTCTCAATTGATATGGCATATCTCTAGAGCAAGCTTCTCTCAGAGTTCGTTTCCACTCAACATCATCTGCCAATAAATTTCTGTGTTGGCAGGCTTCTTTAAGGGTGTCGTAAATGACCCCGTTTAATATACGTAACTCCTCGTAAGAGCTTGCTCCAGGAACATGTAACAATAACAAACGTAAATAATATAATTGTTGATTACGTATACTCACAGAATACATTCGTGTAACAATTTTATTACCACATCTATTATTCCATACGTAATGATATGGAATGTCGGTGTACAGATATTGTCGGGCGTCGGGGTCATTCTGATTTAACAGAAACCATGCCGTTAGTTGGGTAATTTCATTATTTTCTAATGCTTGTATTTCGAATCCAGGTTGGAAACGAACCATTTGCCTGGTAGGTAGATGAACGCAAAGCCGATAAACGGTGTGGGTATTTTTGTGGGTTTCAAATTGATTGATATGCCAACAGGCCTCCGGAGGAGTCATATACCGTGCGTTCAAGTAGTTTTCTACCTCATTATAATTCACTTGATTTTCTACGATAATGCGAACTAATGCCAGATCTACACCTTTAAATAAGTATTTATAAAGGTATTTAACGCATTGGGTAGTACCGCAAACCGCAAGCCTTTATATTAATATGGTATTTATACTTTAATAGGATATAGGGATTGTAAGGAACTATCCAACGATTGTCTAAAATACAGTTTCTGTTATTAGCTCTAATCGTCAAAGTTCTGCCGTTGTTTGGTCTTTTATAAGAGACTTGCCCTTTTTCTGATATTACTGTAAGTTCACTGAATTCTTTCGGATACTTTTTAGAACATTGGCCATTCACCATACAAACGGAGTCTGGGTTTAATTCTCCGCAAGGGCCGTGTACCATGAAAGAGGTTACAATTTCATACAGTTCTGGTTCTAATTGCGGATCTGGTATTTCTGCACTAATGAATGCATCAATTCTGCGAGGGTGTGTTAATTTATCTTCGTCTCTTAGAATAAGTAGATTATGACAATGGGGTAATCCTCTGTTTTGGAATTCTATAACATAGAGGTTAGCTACGTGTACCCCAAAAATGTGCTATTTCAGCACGTCATCTATCATTTCATTTAATTTGCACTGGAATACTTTATCCATGAGAAATGGGTGGTCACTCGCAATATAACCTGCGGGAATATTGTCCACTATCTCGCCATCGTGCATTGGTTGTCATCGTAATGAAAAGGCTGGATATACCGAAGCGTCTAACAACTGCCATGGCGTCCTGAAATAGTTGTTGTTGGTATCTCGGCGATCCGATAAAAGTTGATGATAAAATAACCATTCTACCCAACGTTGCGGCCTCGTCATTCTCATTGCCTTCTTGGACCCTACGATGTAGGTAATCGGCCAACCCAGTATATTCTGTCACTCTTAACCTCTCTTGGTTGCGTAATATATATTTGAGACGATTATTTTCGATTTTCATATACGCAGTGACAGCAAATTGTTGTGTTAGTCTGCTTGCATATTTAAGTCTGGTATCGTTATTTCTAATTCCAAAACGATAGGCATATTCGCATAATGTTATATTACGATTACCATTTCTATGAGGCATTCCTATGTACCATCCCGGCTCTCCTTGGGGGAACAGTAGAGGAAATACTAACGGATCATTATGCTCACTTTCCTCAGAGACATTTTGAAATGTAGTGGGTTCGTCGCGTACATAAATACGCATATTAGGAGTTGCTGGGGCATCTGGCATTAAATTGTACACAGCTGCAACTTCTTCCACTGTAGGTAAGTCATTGCCTTCTATTTATTCCACGAACATTTAATAATTCTAATGTTACATTTGGCATTTGTAAAGGGGGAGGTTCTACGTTATCACGAACGGCTTCTGCTCGAAGTCTGTCAATAGTTTGCCGTTCTAAATTGTAACGTTCTCGTAGATGCATATATGCCCTAGCGTAGGGATTTATATCTCTTAGCAATTGTTCCAAAAGAACAATTAATCGTCTGTCTAAGACTTGATTATTGTTTTGTGCTCGGGCATCGATAGCATCGTCTGCATCTAGAAAATAAATCGGTCCGTAGCGTTGAAACGGCTCATTAACATTTACATTGGATATGTGGTGATACACTTTTCCTCTGCCACAAAACACATATAGACCCCTGGCCGGGAGATCTCGTAGGTTTGCCTCTAAAGATACAAACTGAAAACTATAATTATATAATAATATATACCTTCTGAAATGGGCAGACAAAGGATGTAAGCCTTGAAACAGAGCTGCTAAAACATCAGGCATGGGTGGTAAATTTTCTAAAATTTACCTTGTCGACAGCATTTTGTATAGTCTCCACGACTTAGGCGCTCTACATGAAATTAAAATACAGAACAATGAATACAAATTTGATCGAGTGGACCGAGTTCCGCCTAGTACAATTCTTTCGCTAGCCAGAAGGTACTGTTGTATTATTAGGAAAATTTCAATAAAATCAAATATCAAATACATGCAGAAGCTCCTAACGATCCAAGCTCTCAGTACAGAATGCGGCAGTTCGTTACCGCGCTCGGGGGTATATGTGGGGCTATATAAATATGGCCACGCCCTCGACCAATCAGAGCGCTTTGCGCGCTTCTTCTCCCGCCGAAAGTAAATAAATACCGGAAAAATAACGACGGAAGAGAAAGGGAGTTGAAGAAGAGAGTCGATGAAGTCCGTCCATGAAGTCAGTCGATCAAGTTAGTCGATCGAGCTCAGTCTAGAACAGTTGTCAGCTAGAAGTCATCATCAATTAATCAATTAAAGTCATTTCTAGCATCGGTTGAACGGCCTGCACGGGATAAACTCAAATCCCAAATTTCGTGGATAATATCTGGACTAAATTTGATTTTTCTTTTGTTGAGCTTCAAATAAAGCATAGAGTCTGTGCGCGCCGCTGCAGTCCCAGTTTACATCCCTTCCTGTACTGAGAGCTACGGACGTGGAGTCTGGTAAGTCGCATAGCATTTTATAACCCGTTTTGAGGAAGTTTTAAATTTTAACTTTTTTCCTAAAGATTTTTTTTTTAAAGGTAAAAATTTCATAGTGAAATTTTCCTACTTAATTTAGTCCGGACTTTGCATCTCGAAACTACATTTGAGACTGGATATAATTGTTTTGAATTTATTGTTGTTATTACCTTTCCCTACTTCCCTTTTTCCCATTTCTGGAACTTAAGGTGGTTGCTGGCAACGACATTAGCTAAAATAAATAAACAGCTTACTTGAAAGAATTCGTATAAACATACCGACGAACCAGCACCACCTTCATCAGTGTTTTATTATTGCATGCACACATTATCCAGTGACTCAAAGTAGAAGGAAAAATAATAGAAAGTGAAGACAAATTTAATTTACCAGTGATGGTTAATTAAGATTTTAAAATTTTATTTGTTTACCTACAACGGCACGCCAAAGATATTTTACGGCCCACTTTCAAACAGATTATAAACTTAAAGTTTCATAGCTCCATAATGTTTCATTTCTGCTCAGTGAAATATCTTAGCGTATACCGAGGCTTGGAAAAATCAGAACTTGTGTAAAGTTTTAACTTTGCAATTTTAATTTCTTTTGGTATTTTTCTTATAAAAATACCTGGCGCCCTCATCAGACTTGAATTATCGGATATCTAGGCAGATGCTTACATGTATATACAAGTATATGCTTAACAGGACCAAGAAACTCTTTTTATAACTTTTGTCTTATTGCTTTTAAAGTCAATACTACTTATATTACATAATATAAACGTGGTTGACGTTCAAACACGGGAAATGTATATTCATGTGTGTATATGTAACAATATTTGATCTTTTACATTAATTTACTTTTCACAACTTAACTAATTGACTTTCTCAAGGAGGGTTAAGGCCTGTGACTTGTCGGAATCTGTCGTTATCTAAGCTTTATTAGTAAAATTACTTTCATCCTAAATCATTACCTTTTCGAGCCATTCCCACGCGAAGTCGATTGTAAAATCGCCCCTGAGATTTCTCTAAATTTATCAAATAGTTCGTACTTATTGGTTCTTGTAGCTAAAGCTACTGGGCATAGTATTTAATAAATTTTGGCATAGTTTAATCGTATTGCGTCTCCACCGTCATGATGACGCTTGGCGAGCCTCATGCGATCCGGGAACAGCGTCTCGGGAATGAATCCGCGGCGTCTGGTCCAGCNAATCGCATCTATCCTGCTACAAAAACTCTAATATCATGGGATCAGCATGGCTTCATGCGTGGACGATCTACAGTGTCTAACTTATGTCAACTTACACAATTCATATCCAATGAACTTGATATACGAGGGCAAGTAGATGTGATTTACACTGACATTGCAAAGGCGTTTGATCGTGTCGATCATAAAATTCTTTTACAAAAATTGAGTGCACTCGGTTTCAGTTATAATTTATGCAACCTTTTCGAGTCATATCTTATGAATAGAAAGCAATACGTTACGTATTTTGGACACAATTCTAGTATTTTCACAGCCACTTCTGGAGTTCCTCAAGGGTCTAATTTAGGACCCCTACTTTTTTTATATTTTATTAACGATTTAACATCTCAAATATGCTGTGAAAAACTTTTATTTGCTGATGACTTAAAGTTGTTTGGCAAAGTGTCGGATATTGCGGATTGTCAAAAGTTACAAGACCAATTAGATTTATTAAACGACTGGTGCACTAGTAATTGTCTGGAATTAAATATAATGAAATGCAAGGTCGTAACTTACACTCGTAAATTGCATCCAGTAACATATCATTACAAAATTAATTCTGAGGTACTTAACAGGGTGGACTCCATAAAAGACTTGGGTGTCTTGTTTGACTCACAACTTACTTTCTCTAAACATATAAATGATATTACTTCATCTGCTTTAAAAATGTTAGGCTGTATCGTGCGCAACTGTCAGTTATTTTCAAATGAAATTGCATTTAAGTCTCTGTATAACTCATACGTAAGATCTAAGCTTGAATATTGTTCATTGGTATGGTACCCACGTTACAACTATCTGAAGCTGTCATTGGAAAATGTACAAAGGAAATTTTTGAAATTTATGTCACTCAAAATAGATGGCTTTTATCCGGAGAGAGGCTATAACCAATCTACTCTACTTAACAGATTCAATATTCCTTCTCTGGAGTTTCGTAGAGTTCTAGCAAGTATAAAAGTTTTATATAATTTATTTCACAATAATCTAGAATGTCCATCCCTATTGTGCCAGTTTTGTTTTTGTATTCCTCGTATAAACTCTCGTCAGAACTATACCTTTATTTGTGCTAGAGCAAGGTCGCAGTGTCTCATGATGTCCCCAGTACATATTATGTGCCGAAATTTCAATAAAATATCAGATTTGTGTGATCTTAATTTTAGCAGCCTCAATCAGATAGTTGAAACTGTTGGTATAAGATATGGTGATTTGATTTAGGTTTAATTCTATATAAGAATATTATATGTTCTTTTTTTGGGTATTGTATGCACATACAATATTACTAGCCTTCTGCGTACTTCATTCGATGTGTCTTATATATATACGTGTTAAGCATTGTAACTTTTCTGTAAACAATTTGTCCTATAAATGGATGTTATCTGTTGGGCAATAAAGATTATTATTATTATTATTATTATTATCACTATCACTGTCACTATCACACAATGATACCTATCAGTATTTAAATGCGTCAAATAATATATCGTAATCATCAGATCTAACATTTGGTGGCACATAAGCGTTAAAAATATAAAAGTAAAATTCACCTAACTTCAATCTAACATCAATGATATCGATAAAGTTAATGTCGGAAAATGTATTGACAGTAGTATCAAAGAAACAAGAATCATATTTTTTGCTTATTGCCAATAGTACACCACCACTCCTTTTTTTGTTAACTATATTAAAATCACGATCCTTACGATGTATCTCATAAGCATTGCTGTCAAAAAATTCAGAACTCTGCCCACCTTCATGCAACCAAGTCTCACTAATACCAATTATATCATAACTTGCACCGCTGGAAGAAATAAACAGTTCTTTAGTTTTTGTGCAAATACCACGNATAGCGTCTCGGGAATGAATCCGCGGCGTCTGGTCCAGCAACAAGAACCGAACTAAGACGACAGTACGTCGGTAAGCGATTTTCGATATTCCGTAGACGTTCTATATCTTGTTGAATGTCTTCTCTCGTGGGAATATCAGCTATGGCGGCATCCGTTTAATTTGCTGTTTGTCTACGATTGTTAAATGGTAAATCAGTAAATTCATTTTGGAGGTCATCTAATAGTTGGAGATAATTCAGGAATTATCTCATCACCTATGTTTTCTGCATCTGGAAAGAAAATATTAAAATAAAAATATGATTTATAAAGGCAAGTGACTTTGATGGTTATTTAAATTATGATATGATATTTATTAGTATTAATAATAGTGATACTTATATAAATTTATGAAAAGACTAACTAATTTCTATAACATCTTGAGACATTGATGGGGCTAAAATTGGTACAGGAGTGCTATTAGAATGTGTAGAATCCGCAACAGGTGATGAAGGTTCTGGGTCGTTTTGTTCAATATGAGCATTGGCACCGTGATGGATCATATCTTCCACAGTGACGATTTGAGGTGGTTCATCCTCAGAATCACTCGAAAACTTCCGTTTTAACAGAGGGGTGGGTGCTAAAAAATTGTTAATTTTGATTATAGCTTAAATATAATGTTTCTGATTTATAACATCAAAGTTTATTGGAAAATTATTAAATGAAATTAAGTTATAGAATGTTTTTAGAAGGTTTTTTGTTTGTTTTCGTTATATTTTTTTCCTAATGATTTTCAGAAAATGCACATATTTTACGGAACGTCACAATATTTGCTGCAGAAGAAGTGTATTTGTTACATGTTTTTAAAATAAAATATATCAAATAGAAATAAATTTCAAATGTCTGTTGTAATTTTTATTGACAATAGCTCGTAATAATTTAATCATAGATTGATAAATTTGTATATGAAATAAAAAAAAAATCAGTATAATTGTTTACTAAATATTTTGACAATTAGTGACAAAAGCTACTTTTAGAAGGCATGCAACAAAAATTAAATATGAACATTTAGAAACAGGTTGTAGTTTAGCGGTGAAATACAGATTTTTCTATAACAATATCTATCTTTGAATTTTGTAAAATTACATCATCAGGAGTAAAAAATGGAAATCTACCATACCTCTTGTAGTTACTATCTACAAATACAAAGAAGACGTAGTTCTGGTAAAAGCCATGGAAGTGGACTACTATCGTCTATCAGTCGTTTAGTTCACGAGAACAGAACTCCGAATGGTGCGCCAAAATTAATTTGTTACAAATAAGTTTTGGTAAAATATGCAAAAAATAACAAAAACATTATGTGGCAAATCTAGGTGCTGGTAATAACCGTTTATATTATTTTTGAATCTCTAGATTTATAAAGTTCTGTTAAATTGAAACAAAATTATTTTCATGTAATTATATTATATGCATAATGTATACATCACTGACTTAAAAGTCATTATTAGCTAATATATTAAATGTAATTAAACTGTATAACTTAACTATAAACAATACAAATTTCTGTGTTCATTCCACCAAAAGCAAATTCTATCATCCACTTAACTTCGTCACTGTTTTTTTTGTCTAATCCGCTTGCTTTCTTAGGTAGAGGTAACTAATTCACATTTTCGGCGACCGTTTTCTGCTTCAAATCGATCAAAGCTGCATAAATTGACTCATAACTAGGCGTATCGAAAAATTTTTTTTGGTAATTAAAAAATTTTGTGCCAGAGGACAATGTGATTACGGCTGTTTGACCGACCTCAAGGTTTTAGGCCTTCAAAATGCCGACTCTTCCGAAACGTCTCCTAAAATAAAGATATTATTAAACCCTAGTGGTTATTAATCGCAAACGTAAAGAAATGATTAATAATGAAGCACAAACCTGAACTCAAGAGCGATCCCCTTGCTCATCTGAGAATCCGGAGATACGCAGTGTCCTAGAGCATATTCTTCAGGCGCATCGAATATATTTCCCCTAATCATCGTCAGATGTCTAGAGATACCATATTTTCGCATGAAACGTGTCCGGGGGTAGTCTAATTCGTCATATTCGTTGGTTGTCCTGACGAGAATAAAAAAGTATTTTAGTCAAATATGGTATTAAACGAATAAGTTTATATTTATAAATAAATAAACAGAAATTTAATACTGATGGTATGGAAAAAACTTTTAGGCGCACAATACGAAGTCCTGTTGTTATTAAGTGACAGAGTAAAACGTAATATTGACAGTCATAACACATTCCTTTTTTGAATTGTCAAGTGACAATATTTAATTGTTACCTTCGAGTGGGAGCTGCACTCCTAAATTTTTAAATGTTAAGTATGGGCTTGTGATACCTCATCTATCGTCTCTAATAACTAACAACGTTGCGCGATAAATTCCGTTAGTTTTTTAATGGTAATGGTTTCTATCGGGTCCTTGCTTATGTACTGCTCTCATTCCTTTTTTGATGTCATGTCTAATTTAGATGTTAAGGTAAAAATTATAGGCGTGTCCCACTTATCCGTCGGTTGCCCTAAGGCTATTAACGCGTGATGATTTCTATTAAAAATCTCTAATAATTTCCTAAGATGCGAACAAGATTCGTTTCTTATAGGAGCTAAATCATAATTCGCCTTTATGTGTGAATTGATAATGATTTTTTTTCTTTTCATGTCGCTTTTTTAACAAAGACCACGCTATTTCATAATTATCATTTGAAATGTTTAATGAATGAATTATTTGTGCAGCTTCTCCTTTCAGGCAAGACTGTAAATAATAAAATTTCTGTATTTTTGACAGCTAGCTATTATGAACTACTATATTTGTGAAAATGAAAGGTGACCCATTGGTCATAATGTCGGTAAAAATCAGGCAAATGTATTTGTGGTAATTTAATTTGATTTTGTGTGTTAGTAGTTTGTTTATTATCCGTCATAGAACTAGATAGATAGAGTTTTGTTTTGTAATAGCTCTTTAGCTACGGCACAAATTTTGTGGAATGTGTTTTCGAAAGATTTAGCGTTCATCATTTTGTATATCACCCTGTAATCACTAATTCGTACTGAATTTATTTGTATTTGTCCAAGATGTCACTAACTCTTTCTAGGCGAGTTTCTACTTCAGATAAACTAGAAGTTTGCTCGTCAAAGACGTTTAGAAAATTTTGAAAAGGGGGAGATGGCGCCTTTGGTCTGTGCATTTCTGCCGTACTTCTGAATTTTTTAGCAAATGATGGGCCGAGTGACGCAGTACAACCATAGATAAAAGTAAAATTTATTTCTCTATGGTACAACCAAATATAATATAACCTATAAATTTTGTCGCATTGTTAAAATAATTATATAAAAGGTACATTCGTAATTGGGAAAATCCCTTGGAATTTTTCGAAAATGTTCCTTTCCGGGAACAGGTATAAAGCATAGGAGCTATAATTGAGATCTTATTACCTCTGGTGATTGCTCCGTTGTTGAGGCGATTGAATAATCGTTGACTGCCGGTTTCTCCATTAGTTCAGTTGTTAATAGTACTGCGGTTTTACGCAACAAGCTGCTTTTAGGTTTGAAACTTTCATTGTAACACTGTGATCAATAAATAAGCAATTACTTTTCATTTCATCTGTACACTGTTTTAATTGCAGATTGTTAATGGAGATTTGCGAGGATACAATCAAGCATCAGCATCACATTTGAAAATACTACATAATATAGCATGCAATAATAATAATGAACAGAAACCTCCTGGCTGTGAACATAGTTAATACTTTTTATGGTCATATCAACATCAGTAAAGTGAATAGTGTTAGGAGGTCCTCCTCCAGTTTGCTTTAAATTGAACTTATTTGTAGAATATTTTTCTTCAGCTTTTTTCTTCAAATTTAAGTATTTCTCTTTTAAATTTTTATTGATCTGAAGTAATTCCTCTTGTTGTTACTATTAAATTCTTCTTCAATTTTTTTCCAAGTCTTCACCTTTTATTGCCACGTTACGGCTCCACTTTTTTTGCACTTGATAACTACCTTATATCTTTTCCACTAAAGCTACCAATAACTGTTCTTCTGTTGTAAAGTTTGCTGTTCTTTTTGCCATTTTGTGATTACTATTTATTAATTACTATTCTTATCCATTAATTGAAAATAAACAAAGGCAAGGATAAATAAAGATGACACTAGGCATAACATAACCATAAAATCTAGGTTTTTACCATAATATCACAGAATATACGCAATGGAATGTAGATATTTTTCATAATTCGTTTAAAATCCATATCTTGTAACAGCATAAGTAAGTTTGATCAGTAAGTCAAGATTAAAGGATAGCTGTCACCAAAAATTTCATTGAAAAACACATAGATTAGTAATCTAAAGGCTAATTTGAAGGTAGAGATAACTAAACTAAAAAGTTTACTGGCAGTTGAAAAACCGGCCCTAACACACATCTCTGGAGAAATCTTTCAAAGTTGGGCCACACGATCCACTAATTCGTCGCGAAATTGGCTTATCATATTATTTAGATTGATTTTCGGGTTAAAATTTGCGTATTTTGCGGTGTTTTGACCGCAATTATGAAGCAGATGTTGAGGTGATCCGTCAAATCTTCATCTGGCAATATTCTCTAGTTCGATATTCTTTGTGAGCAGCACGCCATATCAATGTGGGACAAATAATCGCCCCTGCAGAAAGTAGGAGCCCCAGTATTAAGAACAACCAAGGTTTAAAGCCGCAATCCACTCCATCAGAACTTCACCTCGCCGTTCATCACTTAGTCAACCCTCAACTCACCACAGGGAGATGGCTGCATGTGGAATTGCACCTGCCCTCCTTCCTATGGGAGGACGGATGCAATTGATTACATTCATAAATGTTATCAATTTCAATTTACTTTTTTGGCTTTAAAGTACTCTGTCTTACTTTCGAACTAAGGTAAATTTTGTCTCGTCTCTACTCTAACTCTTATAAAACCGTCCTTAGCTGAGTGGCCACAAACTTTGTTCGATACTTTTATTTCAATCTTTATACATCACTCAACGGCTTGAATGTGACGAGGTAATTTGGTTATACTAATAAAGGATCAAATATTCATTATAGTGGGGGTTCTGTGAATTAATTAACTCGACATAATCTTCGGCATTCCAATTTATAGTAGGTATTATAAATATTCTCACTTTTCCTGGTGGTTCATTTCTAGCCTTTAATATGCGTCGGATGCCAAGTTCCCTAATATGACTTCTTTTATCGTCAATCATATACTCTCCGGGTGAGCAAAATATGCGTTAGTTTTAATAACTTAATGCTTAATTGCTTTTACTTCTTCAGGGAGGTGTCTCGACTTATTAATGGTTTTCCATAAATGCACGGAGTCATATTCAGTATACTAAACCAAATAGGTACGTTCACTTTCATGATAAACTGCGCTGACAGAAGAAGGTTCTGAGGAGTGCAATTTTTCCAGGATCTCTTTTAGATACAGCTTCGGAACAGAAACCATCTTTAATAGCACAACAGATCGGACATAGATATCACTGATCTGTACTTAAATCCTTATAGTCAACTTCAGGTAACACGATGTCAATTGACTGAAACTTTTGTATAGGTTTGGTAGCGCTATGATGCCAGCAATAAACCAATTGGAGTCGTATTGTCGTAATTTATATCACGCCTCTAAACGGCAGATCACGCAACTGTCACGTGACTATAATACGATACAGTGTACTTATTTAGGTACACCCTTATTATAATAATATTAAAATCACCAAATATCAATAAGCTGGAACCGTAAATAGAATATTTATCACTGTCACTATCACTATCATCTATCAGGGGTTTCTTCAAATTTGGACAACAAGCAGTATGAAGAAATAATTCAGGAAATCAGTGAGAGACAAAAAAGAAAGTTAAACGTCATAATATATGGCATAGTTGAAGAGAGTAATGCAGCTACTGAGGGACAGACCAGAGCAGCGCAGGATAAAGAGCAAGTACTTACAATTTTTAGGGCTCTTTCCGTACCAGAAGTACTTACAATTTTTAGGGCTCTTTCCGTACCAGAAGATCAAAATTTGAAGGCAACTCGTATTGGAAGACGTAATCCTACCGCAAATTCTCCACGTCCTATTAAGGTTTCTCTAAGCGATGAATCATTAGTTCAAGACGTCATTCGCCAAGCAAGAAATTTAAGAAACATGTCGAACTTTAAGGATGTCCGCATTAGTTATGATCGAACACCAAAACAGATTGCATACTATCGCTCAGTTAAGCTGAAGTTAGATGAACGCCTGGCATCTGGAGAAACTAATTTGAGAATCAAATATATACGTGGCATTCCCGAAATAATTAATTTAAACTAGATAAGCCCAACAGTCATCAGGGGTCGAGTCAAATATCATGCTGCTACCAGAACGTTAGAGGATTAAGGACCAAAGTTGATGAGTTCTGCTCTTCGGTTTCAGCTGCTGAATTTGGAATCATTGGCCTTTCTGAGACGTGGCTTGTGCATGGTATTTCTTCTTCTGAGTACTTTTCAAATAATTACACCGTCTTCAGATCTGACAGAAATGTGGAAGTGACTGGACATGGTTATGGGGGCGGTGTTTTATTGGCATTTGATCAGGCAATTTGTGCTTCTAGAGTTAACTTGGATTCGTTTGTCAATGTTTCACCTAACGTTGACATAGTAGGTTGTAAGTGTCTTATAAATTACTCCGTAGTTTTTGTATATGTTATATATATTCCTCCAAATGTGGATATTCTTGAATTTGAAAGTTTTTTTGAACATTTTGAGCAATCATTAGTTTTTGATGTAGATGATAATGGGTATACTTTAATTTTAGGTGACTTTAATTGTCCTAATTATAACAGTGCAACACAAGACAGAAAAAAGCAATGTATTTCTAATTTTAGTTCTTATTTTGATCTTATGCAATTTAATAATGTACTCAACACCAATCATCGCCTTTTAGATCTAGTTTTTTCTAATTTTAATGTTTGTGAAGTTGTTAGGGATGAAGCACCTTTAGTTCGTGAAGATTTACATCATCCGGCCCTCATACTTAATTTTGTAGTAAATGATAGCACTAATGTGAATTTTTCTCCAAATTGTGAGAGTAAAGCTTACAATTTCCACAGAGCTAACTTTCTTGAACTTTATACTGACATACTAAATGCTAATTGGAGCTCTTTGTCTAATACTGATGATGTAAATGGTGCATGTTCTGATTTTTACGCTATTTTTAATGCTATCTTGGATCGTCATGTTCCAGCATATTCTTTTAAACGCAAGAATAAATTTCCTTCTTGGTACACCACTGAGATAAAAAACAATATCATGTTGAAAAATAAATATCGATTAAAATATAAAAAGGAAAAGAATGTAAACTTTTTGCTTGAGTTTAAACGGCTGAGGTCTCTGATAAAAAGACAAATAAATATTGCTTACAAGAACCATATCAACAGCATACAAAATGCAGTAGTAAGTGACCCTACCAAATTCTGGTCTTATATTCAACACAAAAAGGGCACATCTAGAATACCTAGCTCAGTTACCTATGACTTAAATATTTTCGACTCACCTAAATCTATTGTTAACGCTTTCGCCGATTATTTCAGTGGTGTTTATTCTGGGACAAATAGTAACGTGGATTATCCTTTTCAGCAATTATGTAGCCATGATGTAATGCCTTTGTATATAACGAGCTTAACTGATGAAGAAATATTAGAGGCAATAAATAGTTTAAAAGACAAAATGACATCGGGTCACGATAAGATACCGGCTTTTCTTGTGAAAGATTGTGCAAGAGCTCTCTTACAGCCACTTTCTATTATTTACAATTTAATATTAAAATCATCTACGTTTCCTGAAATATGGAAATTGTCGAGAGTATGTCCGATCTTTAAGAGTGGTAATAACACCGAAGTTAAGAATTATCGACCGGTTTCAATTCTTTGCAATTTCTCAAAAATATTCGAGATAGCGATTTATAATCGCATCTATCCTGCTACAAAAACTCTAATATCATGGGATCAGCATGGCTTCATGCGTGGACGATCTACAGTGTCTAACTTATGTCAACTTACACAATTCATATCCAATGAACTTGATATACGAGGGCAAGTAGATGTGATTTACACTGACATTGCAAAGGCGTTTGATCGTGTCGATCATAAAATTCTTTTACAAAAATTGAGTGCACTCGGTTTCAGTTATAATTTATGCAACCTTTTCGAGTCATATCTTATGAATAGAAAGCAATACGTTACGTATTTTGGACACAATTCTAGTATTTTCACAGCCACTTCTGGAGTTCCTCAAGGGTCTAATTTAGGACCCCTACT